AGCCTCATTGTCGTAACTGATTGAGAAGTACATGTAATCTCTAATCGTTTATGATCGCTTCCGCTGCGGCGCGGCGCGTCGAGGGTAAACAAATGATCGTTGTTATTTATTTACCTATTGCGAGTTACTAACATTTTTCTTCACTTATTCGAAATTTAATAAGGAATTTGATCAGTTGTTATTGTGTTATCCATTCTTACCGACAAAGACTGACACATAGAAGTTCTTACATTGAACGGTAGTGTCGCTCTCTCATGTTGACATTTCGCGAGCTTCCTCATTTTTTACAGACGCTGTGTGAGAGTGTAGCTGCATCGCAAATATCGTGAAAAATACAAAACTGCCTATAAACTAGACACGTGTAATACGGCAGTATTTTAAGAGAACCTCTTAAATGACAGTGAATAACTTTGTTGACATATATCCAGTGTTTTACCTAGGAGACAGAGATAAATATATAAGCATCGTATACCGTCTAATATTGCGGAAAACTCATAATTAAAAGATGTATTAAGAGATACTTGACAAGAATTGTATCTTGATAAAACAATGTCTGAAACTAGGCACAACATCAAGAATTGTTAGGACTGGCTAAAGTAGCAATTGACATTGTTATTGATGCACTCTGCTTTGGATTATCCTCAGTTGTTGTGATCAAAGAACTGACATCACGAATTGCATTTGCACAAGGACAAACTCCAACTTTATTCTTAAATCATGGAGAATTTCTAAAACTTGCAGTAGTGGTAATGATCTTTATAATTTATCGTTTTATGAAATATATCTTGGTCTATTTGAATTGATCAATCGTTTTAATAATATAATTTTTGTTTCACCATAGCTTCCACCACCTGGTATGACAGTTCTTCATCTTAAGAATACTATGGAATGACACATGTGTTTATCTTTTGTAAGAGAAAACGTCCCAAAGGTAATAAATTGCAAATATATTTGAATGAAATATCATCTTCTTTAGAACATATTAAACTTCTTTGTAAGAATGAAAATCATATGATACATGGTGTTATAAATTCAGCTAAATTACATTTTATGAGGAAACGTCGAATGTAAAATAAATTGGAAAGAAGTTAATATCTTAACACAACTTACTACCTACTTGTGTTACTTTTTACTTCTTGCCAACATTGTTTTAGTTACTCATAACATTGTCATCAAGAATTTATACGACTTACTAAGATTGCGGAGACTAAGGTAGAAGATATTATTGAAAGTGATCCCTCTGGATTACCTTCAAATGTTAGGATAGAGAAGCTCACATCACAGATTGCTGTTGCACAAGCTATAACTTTATTCCAAATTCATAGTGAATTGCCAAAACTTGTAGTAGTGTTAATGTTTGAGATGTTTATAATAATTTATNCCTTTTTACATCTTGCCAACATTGTTTTATTTACTCATAACATTGTCATTAAGAATTTATACGACTGACTAAGATTGCCGAGACTAAGGTAGAAGATATTATTGAAAGTGATCCCTCTGGATTACCTTCAAATGTTAGGATAGATAAGCTCACATCACAGATTGCTGTTGCACAAGCTATAACTTTATTCCAAATTCATAGAGAATTGCCAAAACTTGTAGTAGTGTTAATGTTTGAGATGTTTATAATAATTTATCATTTATATATTGGTCCATTTGAATTGATCAATCATCCCAATGATGTAGTTTTTGTTTCATTACAGGTTCAACCACGTGACACGACAGTTCTTGAGAAAGCTATTGAGCAACAAATGTGTTTTGTAAAACAAAACGTCAAGAATAAAATAAGTTGAAAACATATTTGGAATATCATCTTTGTTTAGAATATACTTATTACCAACAACAAAAGTATTATTAAATATAGTATTACAAATTGAACTGATTTACATTTTATGTAGGAGCATTGAG